AAGTCCTCCTGTTCTTCTTTTTGCGGATACAGACTAACACGGCTGCTACTCTGAAACCTATTGATCCAACAGTTAGTTGGAGAAAAGGATATTGTCCCGTCTTGACTCAAAAGCAGCACTGTCATTTTGTTCGGGATCCACTTGAAACAGTCTCTGACACAAACCAAAAATGTGAAAAAGTAATAACGGACTGAGCACGGTGCTGGGAGCCAGAAACCTGGCTTCTGATCTTTGCCTTGCCTTTGCCCAGCTGTGTGTCTGAGTACTGTCACTTAACCTGTCTGCACCTCCGCTATCCCGTCTGTAGAATGAGGCAGTAATGATAATTCTTTGTGTACAGTGGTTTGAGATTTAGGGATGAAAAGCACCATTTCCCGGGTCAGCCAGGTGCTTAAACTTTGAGCATCAGTGCTTTGCTGAATTGGGGCCTACTTGATGTCTGTGCTTTACACTCCTGTACCTGCAAAAGGGAGTTTGTGCTTGAAATTATGGGCTGGGCTCAGGGACTTTTGCAGGGCAGTGTTTTGTGAGGACACTCCATCCTTGAATGAGATAGTGTGGGATACTAAGTACTGCTGTCACATAGGGTTTGTCTGCACTGCAATTAAAAACCTGTGGCTGGCCAAATGGCCACCTTAATTGCGTGGTAGACATACCCACAGTTGCAGGTTAATCACTAGGGCAGGTGGAACTGGAGACATCAAGTAGGATCTAAGGATTCAGTTTCCCTCCTTGTCCGCTTCCATTTGTTCTTTCTCTGACCTCACCGGAGTTCCCTTGGGTTCCTCTCTCTGGCCATGTTTAACCTCATTGTCCCCACTGTGATCAGTAATCTCAATGCCATCTGAAACTCTGATCCATTTTCAAAAGATGGCTGTCAATATGCAGACTGGTGGTTACCAGCAAAATGAATCCTCCTAATTGGCTTCAGACTTAATCAACCTTGCACCTGCGGGCATTAATCTCGCCAAAGCATTGCGGTCTGTAGTGAAATGCCTTTTAAATGCAGATCAATAAGTTGGACAGAAATGCATTGAAATTAACTGCACCCTGGAAATATGGATGGAAGGAAAGACTCTTTTCACAGTTCTCTGCTGGGTTGATTTGTAGATCAAAGATGCTGCTTGCTCCTGAGATCAAAGGCAGAATTTTTAACCTTTTGAAGCTAATGACCTAAAACCCTTCAGTTACAATTAAAAATAATTTTCAATTGTCAAACCTTATCAAACTTTGGCAGCATTATTAGATGAAATTTACATGGTGAACTGTCACTAAACTCTGAATGTGTAATAGGTACTTGTATTCAGGCACATTATCTTAAAAACGCATTACATGTCATTGAATAATTTCAGGTTTGCCGAACTCCAGACATATACTCCACTAAGCTTCAGACCCATAGAAGATGGCAAATGTGACATTATTATTGAAAAGCCAACTTACTTCATGAAATTAGATGCAGGTAACAGATATTATTTTTCTGCTTCATACAGTGTGATAATGTAGTGTCCATTTACATTACGTTTTTAGGGTGTGTGTATGAAATTCACTCTGAACGTGTATGTGGTGTTTATAGATCTTTGAAGTAGAATGAGATTATAAGACTTTGTTTTCACTCCCTTTTCATAGTTCAACCAAATCTGTGAGATTGTGACAAAGTGCAAGTTTTGTCCTATTAATAGATGCTTAAAACAAACAAAAAAACAGAAAAGTTTCACACCACTTCCATTACACTTTGACTGATGACTATTTTCATATCTCACTTGCACATTATGGGAATAAACATAATTTATTACTGGCTATGTCACTTCAATAATTGCAGCTTCTGCATACATAGGTATGTAACGGTTATGGGGTGGTGGATGGAAGTCATGTACTTCAAGAAAAGAACCCAAGCAAATAACTTTTTATGTAGGTTTGTCACTTTAAAAGTAAAAAGACTTCTTTAAAAGCTATTTTTAAAGACTTTGAACTATGTGAAAATCAGCTGCAAAGTATATAATATCTTATCTACTTCATTATGGGAGAGCCCTAGTGATTGCTGTCCTGCACCATATCATACTTCATGAGAGGCTTGAAGTATCTTATGAAGGTCTTTCCATCGTGAATATTTTAGCATTTCTTCAATTTATTGATCTTAGCTTTAATGTTCTTCATTTTAGAGATTTAACATTAATAGGGGAGAATACTTAGTCTGGTATTTAGACAAATGGATTAGGCTTTTTTTAAAAAAAAAAATAGGAGTGGGTAAAACACTGCTCAAGAGTCTGTTTGAAGCATGCTTTGGAGCAGGTGCTAAATGAATAACATCGCGAGAGTAGCATCTTATCCCAAGGTGAAGTTTATGTACCTTTTTTAAGAAGCCTGAAAACATTTTGTTGAAATCCTAATATTAGTGTTTGCTGTGTGCAGCTAGACATTGCAGTACCATTAATGTGGTAGTGGTTTTAGTATACAACAGGAAATCCCAATAGCAAGTGTAACTTCAAAGAAGTTTAATTTCTTATTGCTTTTGGCTGCCCTACCTATTCCTTGGTTAATTCATAGTTTTCTCATGTGATTCCATCCCTACTGGAGCTCTGCGTCGCTAAGGCGTATAATAAGTTCTCAGTCACATAAAGAGTAAAACTAATTTAAAACCCAGACCTTTTCTGTATTTAGTAATTTCCCTGTGAATAATAAACACGAATGTTTGCAAAAATGGGAATGAATAATGTAGTACTGCTTTATAGTAAAGAGCTTTTCTTTCTCCTGCCAGGTGTTAATATGTATCATCACTTCTGTGACTTTGTCAATCTTTATATCACTCAGCATATTAACAATTCGTTCAGCACAGATGTCAACATTGTCATGTGGGACACTGTAAGTAGGACTTCCTTTTAAAATCTTTGTAGCAGTTTATATCACGCAATGTATTGTGTTCACCCCATGCTTATCTTCTAACAAAGCAGCAATTCTGCCTTAGAATGAGCCTTTGCTTATTTATTAGACAAATCACTTGGTGAGACCTGCTAAATGACACATGTGAGTCTTTGCATCTTTAAAATAAGGAGTCCTAGGGCCTGAAAATCCCACCTGTTCTGCAGAGGCGTCTTGCCCGGCAGGGTGAATTCCACTGAGTGACACACGCCCTACCTGACTGCAGGAAGGAGTATCAGGCTCCAGCGCTGAAGGACTGTTTTGTTGAAAAACACCTCATGTGAGCATGGTGGAATTTTGACCAGGGTCGCCCAGAGGAATCAGGGGGCCTGGGGAAAAGCAATTTCGGGGGAGGGGACATAAAAAAAGGCGCCACCCGCTGCGGCACTTGTACTCACCAGGCGGCGCTCCGGGTCTTCGGCGGCGGGTCCTTCACTTGCTCTGGGTCTTCGGCGGCACTGGAGGACCCGCCGCCGAAGTGCCGCCAAAGACCTGGAGCGCCGCCGGGTAAGTAAAAATCCCAGGGGAGGGATTCTCAGCCAGGGCTCGCGGGGCCCCTATGGGGCCCGGGGCCTGGGGCAAATTGCCCCACTTGCCCCGTCCCCCCCCCCACTCCCCTCCCCGGGCGGCCCTGATTTTGACCCACCTCTTGTTCATACCAGTAAAACTGAGACGAAGGACTTGTCTTCACTGCAAGAGTTAGCTCAAGTTTCTCCACTGGAGCTAGCCTCGCTCCTGCAAGAGCGACCACGCTGCGAAACACCACTCCAGCTAGGGAGGGCTGAATTAACTCGTCCCTGGATCCTGAGCGCGCACACTTCTGGGCCTGTCTGCTGGCCAATTCAAGAAGATGCTCCCACACAGCATGGACGTGTTTAACCCTGTCCTGGCCAGCACAGCTTAACAGGTTAACCAAACCACATCCAACGCCTGCACAGATGTTGCTTAATTAAGATCCTGTTTGGAAATACTGTCCTTAGTGCTTACCATATAGAATACTACACTGCTACAGCACTGAGAGAACGGTAATCTTAGTCATGCTGGAATTTTAGTAAGTACTTTCTGAGTGTTGCCATTGTATTCCAGCTGTATTGCCAAGTGTTTAGTTTCTCATTGTATATAACAAAATCTTTCTAATTATCTCTACCTTTCACCGTCTGATATTATTTCTTCAGAGAGGGGAAATTCTACTTTGAAATCTAAGAACTTTGGGTTAGATTTAGTCTTATGGAATTTGTAGGTATGAGACAGGGAAATACAGCTGCTTGTATTGTTTTCCCCACAGAAGATATGTGCAACCTGTATTTAAAAAACTCCCAAGCAAACACCCTAAATATTGCTGTTTAATGGCTAGCTCATGAACAGTCTTTTTGCCGTCAGTGCTCTTGATCGCCTTCAAATGTGCTACTATGACATTAAAAAATAAATTAGTCCCACCTAACTACACTACTGCTAATTGAACATTTTCAGTGGCCCTTGCTGAATTGAAACGGACAATTTGTGTCTGTTAAGCATGGGGAAATTAGTTTAACCGGTATTGAGTGATGTAGGACCAGTTTTTTTTAATCACTTGGTTGAAAAATTAGCAATAACTAAAAAAAAAAAAAAAAAAAGTGCTTTTATAAATAACAAATTCTCACAACACCTTTTGTCAAGGTAAATTCTAATGGTTGGGGGGGAGGGATAGCTCAGTGGTTTGAGCATTGGCCTGCTAAACCCAGGGTTGTGAGTTCAATCCTTGAGGGGGCCACTTAGGGATCTGGGGCAAAATCAGTACTTAGTCCTGCTAGTGAAGGCAGGGGGCTGGACTTGATGACCTTTCAAGGTCCCTTCCAGTTCTAGGAGATGGGATATCTCCATTAATTTATTTATTTATTTTATAATTTAACATTGCAGTCCAGAAATTCCACCTCTCTAGAACATTGTCTCAAACTAATGCAGGATTTAATTTTTAACAACTGTTTTCTGCATTCTCTGTATGTTCTAACTCATCTGAATGTTAACCTTCCTAGAATTGCCAAGTCTCAGCAGGGTATAGCTCCTTGCTCTTCAACATGAATCCTCCTGGACAAATCAGACAAAAAAACCTGTTTCTAGGTTCTCTAATATATTGGAAGCCAATACATATAAAATATAAGCATCAGTCTTCCTTCACATGTAGCCTCTGTGAGTTTAATAGGGACATGAAAACATATAATTTGTGGTCTTTCTAAGAGATCAAATATATCAAAGCATCATGATGATTTCCTTTTAAAAACAGCCGGGATACGTTTCCTATTGTTCCTATATTACTAGGGTCTTAACATTTTATTACTTCTTACAAATGCATAACACAAAATAAGTGCAATTTTTTATGTCCTGGAACAGATCACTTTGGTTGACACAGATTTTATTACTTCTTGCCACCAGATGATGGCACCAAGAAACGTCTTGATTTGCTGAGAGGTGTCTGTGGTTACTAAAAGACAGACTCCAGCTGAGCATTGATTCCCTTTTTTTCTTAACGCAATTAGATATGCATGTACTTTTTGGCTACTGTAGAATTGCTGCACTGTCCTTATTAAACAGAAATGCCATTAGATGTAGGTGAAGCAAAGCAGAAAATGAACAGGAAATACATGGGGCATCTAATCGGGCATCTATCTGCAGACACCCCACCTTCAGCCACATAAAAAAGTGACGTTTATAAATTCCCCTACAATCAGTTCTTTTATGGAGAATAGGCAGCGATAGGAGTAGAGCTTTCAGCTTTGAAGATCAGTGCTTTGCTACTGATCTGAAAGTACAGTTCTTATAACACAAGCTGCTGGAGAATAATATCGAACCTGAAATTCATTAAAACTTCATTGCAGCAGTGAGGGGGAAAAGCAAAGCTGCAAGCTAATGAAATATGCCATCCTTTAGATTCTGTTACATTTCACTGGCTGCCTGCTCTGTCTTGCAATCTTTATTAGTCTCTTTTAAAACATTGTTTTTATTAAAAATTATTTTCACTTCACATTAAAGACTGACGGACAGAACTGCTGCAGCATCCAAAGGAAGTGTACGTGCTGCAAACAGCAGTCTGCTTCCAACTTTCCTGAGGGCATATCTAACTGTAGTCCAAAAGAAAGCACTGATGCCTCTTTGTTCCATACATGTTCGTGATCTATTAATATCTGTGGAGAGAACGTGTGTAGGGGGCGGGGGAAGGGGAGAAGTGTGGTGATTCTGTGGCAGGGTCACCTGCAGGGATTGAACCGAGAACCTTTAGATCTGACAGTATGAGCCTCTACTGCTTGAGCTAAAGGACAGGGTTACATTACGAAGTTAGACTGACACAGGCCTGTCTACACTGGGGGGGGATCGATCTAAGTTATGCAACTTCAGTTACGTGAATAACGTAGCTGAAGTCAGCGTACTTTGATCTACTCTACAGCTGACGCTCTCCCGTCGACTCCGCCTGCCCCTCTCGCTCTGGTGGAGTACTGGAGTCAACAGGAGAGCATTTGGCGGTTGATTTATCGCGTCTAGACTAGACATGATAAGTTGACCCCCGCTGGATTGATCACTGCTCGCTGATCCGGCGGGTAGTATAGACAAGCCCACAGTGATTTATGTTGACCTATTTGTGCATGTGTCTACAACCACCTCCCTGAACACCTAGTCTACATTTCAAAGTTAGCAGTATGCTGTAAAAATTTCCCAAAAGACATTGCGCTGGACGGTGGTGTATGGCACACTGGGATACCTACCTGTGGTGTACCACACTTTGTAGGGACGCAAGGACTCCTGGTGGGTATGTGCGGCACCAACACAAACAGCTAAGTCTGCATGAGTGATATACTAACTTCGGTGACCGTACGCTGACGTAACTTGCATCAAACAAAGTTTGTAGAGTAGATGTGACCTTACTAGTTTAAAGCCAGTAGCATGTTTCCATCTTTATATGGTCCAGCCACTAGAAGCACTCTTACCCATTGTGTTATGAGATACTGCAACAAGTCGTTACGGGTAGTGCTGAATTTCATCACAAATTTGCCTGTTATTTCATTCAGCAAATAAAAGTATTTCCATCAAAGGCACACTGGCTGAATCAAGTAGCCCCTCTGTGTCACTCAAGCAGGTAGGCATGTGCAGAGGGTGTTTCTAGATCCAGGAGCCTGTCCCAAAATCAAGGTGGATCCGGAGCAGACTTACAATAACGCTTTATTTCAAATGCCTGCTCTGCACATACATTCACAAATGGGTTTGTTAATCTCAGCAGCCCCACTTTACGTACCCATCCTCCCCTCTGCTCTGCCACCTCACACCCACTATTAGTTCTTTCGTCTTTGGGGAGAAGAGGGAGTGCTGGACACCTCCCCTGGCTGGCTGGTCTCTCCACCTCTTCAGGTTTGTCTAGCCTAGAATGTATGCCTGTTTTAACATGAGTTGATTCATTGCCAGTTAATCTGAGTTAGCGAACACAGACATTGCAAACTTCTGTGGTTTACTCCAGGCTGTCCTGGTTACTATGGTGATGGGGCCAATATAAGAACCTGAACTAATATATAGAATCCAGATTGTTACATGAGAGCTTTTATTCACTGTGTGTGTATGTGTGTTTTCTCTTTTCTCCTAGAGCTCGTATGGCTATGGTGATTTGTTCAGTGAGACCTGGAAGGCATTTACTGACTATCACATAATACACTTGAAAACATATGACTCTAAAAGGGTATGGAATTGTATATTAAGCTATAGTGTCATGATGGAGTTTCCCAGCCAAACCAGAAGCCAATATTTCAGAAAAAGGCCTTACCCTGGTTACAAAGCATAGCTAGACTCAAGGTTACCCTACAAATTAAGACCAAGGTTGTAACCCACTTCCCTGAAGTGGTGGCAGCTGTTGTGTAGACAGGGCCATACTTCCGTGGCTCTGTGAGAGGAGATATTTAAAGATTGGGTTCTTTGCTTCAGCAGCACATGTACGCCTGTTTCAAACATTGGAGCACATTATGGAGCTGTGAGCATGTCGTAGCAGGGTTCACACAGTGAGATACTGTGTGGCAAGCTATTGTGCTGTAGATTCACACCCTGGCTTGCCACGCACTAACTTGCCATATAGACAAGCCCTAAGGGTTTTCTTGTGTCTGAATTCGTTCTGAATCTTGTAGTTTTCATTGGGTTATGTCTCTCATCTGTGTCTTAATATAGCTTTTATGTTTGATATTCATGACCTATTATGATATTCCTTCCCTGCCCCCTTCAACCCCGCCTGCAAGATATGAAGACTGTGGGATATAGTCTACCCTTGATTTTTGTTCTCAAAAATTTAGCTGCCTTCAGTGGGAGTTCATCTTATCCTCTCTTAAATCCCTCCTTTGAAACCTGCCTCTTCCACAACGCCTCTAGATTGCTGCCTTCTGCTTAGGTAGATGGACACCTGTGATTATTGATCCATGAAACTGCAAATATTCCCTTGTCCACCATCCTACCCTACTCCTTTTTTGTCTTTTTTCACCTGTTGACTCTTGTCAAAACCCCAGATTGAGTTCTCTGGAACAGCAACTGTCTTTGGGGATGTCTACACTGCAGTCACAAGGTGTAGAGTAGACACACCTGAGCTAGTTTTAATCTAGTTTGCTTAGGTCCCGGAGTAGTGAAACTGCAGCAGCATGCGGTTCATCCCGGGCTAGCCCGGGGTTCCAGGTTGCTCCAGGTCCCGAGCTATTTAGATTACAGCTAGTTCAGTTATGTCTACTCAAGCTGCAGTCCCACCGTGTGATTGCATTATAGACATACCCTTTGTTCTGTTAGTTTGCAAAGTGCCTAATATAATGATGCTACAATCCTTGATTGGTGCATTTAGTTGCTGCCCCAATATCAACAATATCTGCAGTGAGCAAGCTTGAAATGTGCCCCTTTAACTGTATATTCGAGTACAACCATAACTTTAATGATCTTCCCTTACAGGTATGCTTTAAAGAAGCAGTGTTTTCATTATTGCCTCGAATGCGATATGGCTTATTTTACAATACACCACTGGTGAGTCTGTTTTATCCTGTCAATGTGAAAACTAGACCTCTATGTTCGGATCAGCATTGAACTTTCTGCAAACAAATGCTGGAAAAACCTAGCTGAGTTATCACAAGTATATAAATTATAATATAAACTGTAAGTGAAGCATCGGATTATAATATAAATTGCCTCTCTGATTTCAGATCTCTGGCTGTCATGGTACAGGATTATTTAGAGCATTTTCCCAGCATGTGTTACACAGATTAAATATCACACAAGAAGGACCCAAGGTATGACTGATACAGTCGTGGTATGAAGCTTGCATTTCTTTTCTTTAAGCAATCCTAGTTCTTACCCCAGTAAGTAGAAGTAGCTGTGAATGTCTCTCAGAAAACAGTGGCAAATATTACTATATTTTTGGTCCCTCGCACTGATGTTTTGGGTCCACCTTTTGTTTGCCAATCTGTTTCATATAGTTCTTTTAGCAAATATCTGCACGTATTTGTAAACGGCTGCTCCAGAGTCCTGTTCCCACTGGAGAACGCCTTAGCACACCTCTTCCCCATTTCAGCCCGTCTGTCCCCAAGGACCTGCATTATGACAAATATTCTTCCAGGCCAGGAGAGCCGGATGTGGCACTCCTTCTGGAGTGGCTATCAAGTGCTGCCCTTGAACACCACAAAGCCATGCATGGTGCACTCCCTCTGCAGAGCCACACAGTCCCTGCTGACCTGGGAGCAGAGAAAGGAGCAATCAAATCTGACTTTCTGATCCCTGCATGGTACCGTCAGGCTGGCCCTAGGCTTATCAGTTTTAAAACACTTGTTATTTTTTCAGACCATTACAGTGGCTACATTGATGGATACAGCAGCTTTTGATTTTCTGAAGTATTTGCCGGAGAGTAGCCTACATGTGATCACTAAGGGATACACTTTCAAAGCACAAGCATTTAGCTGTGCCTCTCCCACTGACATTAATGGAACTCATGCCGCTAAATCTCTGGGCTCCACTTGGAAAATTTACCCCTAAGGGTTCAACTGATTTTAAAAGGTGAGGGCGGGGGAACTGCTACACAGGCAAAATAACTTTTTTCTGCAGGTCTTGTGCACAAATCATCCTCTGTTTCTTTCCTGCTTTCAGATACGCCTGTAATGGCCAGGGCAGTGATTCTTTTATACTCACTAAAAGTATACAAGTTTTTAAACCATTCCATTGTTGTTAGGGTCAAGAATTTTGACATGTTTATGTATTGGAAATCTCAAATTTTGCTCATTTTGGAGGGCGTTATGTTATGTATATCGGCATAACTACGTCGCTCAGGGGTGTGAAAAAATCCACAAAAGCGACGTAGTTACACCGATTTAACCCACTGTGTAGACAGTGCTATGTTGACAGGCGATCTTCTCCCATTGATACTACCACCTCTTGGGGATGTGGATGAACTACGCTGACAGGAGACGCTCTCCCATTGGTATAGTAGCATCTTCACTAAAGCACTACAGCGGCGCAGCCCTTTGTCTTTAGCTAGCCAAGTTTTCTCTCGGGTATGGAGGCTACTCCTGTATATGGCACTTAATTTCTACACAGGCCCAGAGAAGATATTTAATACTCAAGTAATCGTTTCCTTTAAAAATTTCATGGCAGTTTTACTGAGTATTTTTGGTCCCTCAGGCCCTGCAGATGGGTATATAGCATTGCAGTTTCTCTCTTCTGTCTTTTTAGGATGGAAAAATTCATGTCACAATACTTGAACGCAGTACAAACTACCGGAAAATATTGAACCAGAATGAGGTTGGATTATTTTACTTTCTTTAAAAAAAAAAAAAATTTAATTTTTACCAATCTTGTGTATTGTGCATGATGCGTTCGGATTTTCAGATAAAACCAATATATTATCTAATGGTAAATCTTGAACAGGCTCAGTGGTAACACTACATTAATCTGACAGACATTCTAGCCCGTATCCATTTCTATATCTCTGCTGCGAGCCTTGTAGCTTTTGTGGATTTCCTTATGGAGATTAGTAGAGGACAGCAAGTAGTGCTGACAGATCAGAAGTGCCTGCTTTTTTTAAAAATAAAAAAAATAAAAATGCTCACAATCGTAGAAAAGTAGGGCTGGAAGAGACCTTGAAACGTCATGTAGTCCAGA